CTCGCTGTGATGACCAAACACGTGAAACATTGTTGTAATCCAGAAATTAAATTAGAAGTCACTGTTCAAAGAGAGATCACTCAATTGTTATTAACATATCTCTGTTAAAATATTAGTATTGAGTCATAAGAAATGGAGGATGTTTTTTGATTCACTAATTTCCAGATCATCATAATTCTTAGGAGCATATGCAACTCCCATTTAAAACTTATGCCTGAATAGACTGAAGGAGAGTGGAGAATCGCTCTCTCGCACACCTCACATCAATCAATGTATCCAAGTATGTGTCCTTTACTGCTGTTTGGAGCAACCAGCTTGGCAAGGCAACCCCTCCTTCACACCTTCAGGGATTCACATTGTCTCTTTCCTGAATCAATAGCCTGCCTCTTCCATTTGGCCAGAATGGAGAAAGGCAGAAAGTAAAATCTAGCCTTTATTATTATTTTACTGACACAAAAACAGTGTCACAGCAAACGAGATCTATATGCTGGATTTCATATCACAAAATCACAAGTTGAACACTTCCCAGGCGTCTAGGACTGTGTGATGTATTTTTGAATGATGCACACAGATCCAAGTAAGGTGGCCTTTTGCAGGTGACAGATCATGGTTTTGTCAATGTTTATTGTTTCCAAATGCCAGCTGAGATCTTTTGGCATGGCACCCAGTGTGCCAGTTACCACTGGGACCACCTGTACTGGTTTATTATTAATTATTATTATTATTAAAATTAATTTGAGTCTCCAATGCAGCTTATGTTTTCAAGGTACCATTCCCCTCTCACCTACTTTGGCAGAGCCCAACCACACCCCATAGAGAAAAGTCATTTGGGCAGCCATCGTTGCGGCCTGTCCACCTTCCCTCAAACTGTTTAAATGGTTATAACATACCCAGCAATAAGCAGAAAACACTTTATGATACTGAAAAGTCATGAATTACAACCCTGATGGTTACAGACAAAAAATAATAACCGTGTTCCAGCTCTTTTATTGCAAAAAGCAAGTAGTCGCCAAAGTAACTTGTTGCAAGTTAACATATGATTTCCAACCTCTGGTATGTCATAACTAGACAGCACAATAACAGTGCTAACAGTGGAATTAAATTGGTGGAGCAAGCTGCAATTTCAGTGTGTACAATTTATACTAATGACTACATTTTTCCCCAGGGATCTTAAAAAAGAAGCAAGATAAAAGGGAAATTGCAGAACGCAAACGTTCTAGCTGGCAGTGTGTTCATCAGCATTTATCCTTCTCCCTTAACAATCAGAAGCAGTTTCCACTCCAGTTAATAGACCTGTGATGGTATGTTGCCAGTCATTCTGCAGTTCTTTCAATGAGGAAAGAAATCACATTCTGCTCTGACTGAAGACTTCTTGTAAATAGGAAGAATAGCTCTCTGATTGCCCCACACAGCTCAGGACATTTTCCCCTCTGAGAGTGGTCCTCATTAGGAAAATCTTGCTTTATAGCTTAAGCACCTAGCGTTGCCTGAGTATACATTTTCTAATCAGACAAATCATAAAATTGTAAAGCTAACAATGAGTACTTCTAATAACTAGCATTAGAAAAGGCATACCTGGGCAATACCAGCGGGTACGTAACCTAGTTATTAGTATTTTTCTTAGGTGAATCACATTATCTGTTTCAAGTCACAGTCGTGGTCTCAGAGAAAAGCACAGACAATTCAGTTTTAAATAAATGCTTCTGAACTTGAGTCACAATCTCTCGGCCTCAGTGGAAGCTTTGTCATCATCTCCCCTTTTAAAATACTTTGAATATATTGATGGCCAGCCACAGCCCTCAGGGTTGTGTGGGTGTGGTTGTGTTTGTGTGGAGATTGCCTCTTCATGACCCAACCACCTAAATGGCACCAGATGCTAATTTTTATTGGAAGTCACAGTCTATCAGCCTCAGAGCATAGCACATGCTTGCACACACACACACCCTCCAAAATATAAATTTTCATTACTTCCTTCCTTATAGGATCAAAGTATTCTGTATGTTTGTTTGTGGTTGGTTGGTTCATACATACATTGATGTTTATAGAAAGAGATAAATCATGACATATTAAAAATAATTAGGGATAGTTTCAGTTCTCATATTTTGCAATCTGGGACTTCTGCATGACCAGAACTTAGTGCTTTGGTGTATGGAGTAGCCAGTCTTTAATGATGACTCATCTTCTATGTATTTAGAGATGCCCCAGGGAGTGCAGCAGGTTAAACTGCTGATTTGCTGAACTTGCTGACTGAAAGATTGGCTGTTCAATCTGGCGAGCGGAGTGAGCTCCTGCTGTTAGGCGCAGCTTCTGCCAACCTAGCATTTTGAAAACATGCAAATGGGAATAGATCAATAGATACCACTTCTGCGGGAAGGTAACCGCATTACATGCAGTCATGCTGGCCTTGGAAGTGTCTATGGACAGTGGCGGCTCTTTGGCTTAGACATGGAGCTGAGCACCACCATCTAGAGTCGAACATGACTAGACTAGACTTAATGTCAGGAGAAACCTTTACCTTTACTTTGGGGGGGGGGGACACCCTAAATTTGCTTTTTGCTAGTAAATGGATCAATTTCAGTATTCACTTCTCATTCAAGTGAAGAGGGGAATCATTCAATTCATATGAAAGGGGAGGGTTTTTCTAAAATTATAGGGAGGCACGGATTTAAAAAAGCAGCACAACAACCACCATTGACTCCATTGCTACAGGACTCATTTGGACAAAAGTGTTTTGCTTCCCTCCAACAATTTTTACCCAATGGGGGACCTCTCTACCTCCCAAATTTAATATCAGGCTAGCTTCATATTTCCTTTAATGGAGAATCCCATTTCCTAGCCACTTGGGCAAAATTTTAACAGCTCTAAATACAAAGAAGATGGGTCATCATTAATGACTGGCCACTACATGCACCAAAGCACTAAGTTCTGGTCATGTAGAAGTCCCAGATGGCAAAATATGAGAACTGAAGTCTAGCTTTATTTAAAAGTGAATGCACATGGAATTATCAACCGTAGTAAGCATTTATTGATGTGTTCTAAATGCTCAGATCTCATCTTCTTTCCAAAGCAGGATTGCAAGACAAATAATAACCCTACCCCCACGGAAATATTTAAAATATTACTTCAGTCACATTCTGGAGATAACTTCCTATCTAATATAATGCCTAAAGGCACATGATCCCATTTATTTGTGGAAGCCAAGCAGGTTGAGCCCTGTTTAGTACTTGGAGGGGAGTTGCTCAACAAAATACCAGGTGTTGTAGGGCACATTGCAGAGGGAGGTACTGGCCAAACCATTGCTGAGTATTCCTTGCCTAAGACGACCCTGTGAAATCCATGGGGTTGCCATAAGTCAAGAGGAAACTTGTATGCGAATACAAACATAATGTAATCATATTTTAATATATGGAAAATGTACTTCATCTGAATGCTATAATAAAAGTGAACATCTTCAGTGATCAAAAGAACAGCTAAAAGCTTCTTCTTTTTTAAAAAAGCTTTTATCGCAGTGGGACTTGACAGATCTCAAGTGGCAAAGTATTTCCACTGGAGGAATCACTAGAGAAACAACTCTATCCTGGTATTGCCATGGCTACAAAGGAGCTGAAGAAGTGTCTCAGATGAAAGCCAAAGCACGCGGGCAACACCTATGGAAGAAGACAGAACTTAAAAGAGTGCTTGGTCCCAGTCAGCCCCCCACATTTGTGGGGTAAAGTTTTGCTAATTTGATTATTTGCAGAATTGATCAATAATATCTCTCTAGGAATCTCTAGGTCAGTGGTTCTCAAGCTGTGGGTCCCCAGGTGTTTTGGCCTACAACTCCCAGAAATACCAGCCAGTTTATCAGCTGTTAGGATTTCTGGGAGTTGAAGGCCAAAACATCTGGGGATCCACAGCTTGAGAACCACTGCTCTAAGTCCTCAAGAGCAACTCTACAGCCAACATCCAGGGGAAGGTGACCAGAGTCATGCTGGAAAAGCTAAAGATTCCCAGAAAGATGTTCTCTTGTGAAAAAAAGCTGATTTCACAAGTGTAAGTTCATTTTCAGTGAGCACCAATTTACAAAAAAATACTTGAAATGGCAACATTCATATGGTTCCAATTTTAATTAGAACTATCCTAATGCACACACTTTGAATTGATGTGTAATGTGTAATGCAGTTACCCTTTGGCTATCCCCCTTTTCTGAATTTCATGATGCAAATTTTCACCCCATCCCAAATCTATGTGCAATGATGTGCCCCATTTGGAAAAATGGCTTCCAAAAAGGTGTATTTAAGCAGTGATAATATGATACGTTTTGATGTGCTGGCGTTCATTGTGATAGTCACTATACCCATTTCCAAATCCAAAAAATTGGAGCGGCTTGCCTAATCCATGTGAACAAATCAGTTCTAGCAGTTCCAGGGCCAGGATTCAGCATAGCAGATTAAACCACCAGCTGAAGTAAATCTTGTCAGTCCAAAGCTTGCCAGTTCGAAGCCCGGGTCAGGGTGAGCTCCTGGCCTTTGGCCCAGCTTCCGCCTACCTAGCAGTTCGAAAGCAAATGTGAGTAAATAGGTACTGCTTAAAAGTGGAGAAGTATTCTGAGGCACCCATAAGGAATGCCGGAGATTCGATCAAAGTTTATGAATAAAGCTCTTCGGCACAGAGATGGAGCAACAGCACCACCACCATCATCCCAGGGCTGGAACTAAGCATAAAGCCTCCAAAATGCCAAAGAAGGGAAAACGGCATTGAATGTTTGCCACATATGTATGTTCTGTGATCTGCCCTGAGTCCCCTTTGGAGTGGGAAGGGCAGAAAATAAATAAATAAATAAATAAATCTCTACCAGAAATAGTCCCTTCCCAAAAGCAATTGGGTATTAAAATACACCAAAGCTTGGAAGAGTGACATGTGCGCTTCCAAATCCAATAACCATTCACCCAAGTTATAAGGACACCCACTCCCCATCTCAAAAAATCATTATTATTAACGTGACAGATTATTTTAAGGAATACTTTAAACTTTTTTATTTGGTTAAATTTTCACCAAAAAAACAAATACGTAACAGAATTATCTGGACAAGCCATCTCTCTCTCTCCACAAAAACAACGAACTGCATATCAAAAGCAGGGAAATATAAAAAACCCAAAAGTTTCAGGAACGCATACATCAACTCTAAGGTTCCTTGGACTTTCCCCAAGATGACTTTTCCCTACCTGTGCCAGTTGCCTTAATGTGTTGGAAAATCAAGAATGTGCAAGAAAATCAAGAAAGCTGCCGCACTACATAATTATAGTGCTATTATCTCACTTGAACTGCCATGGCAACATATTGGGATTTGCAGTTTAGGGAGGAGCCAGAGATCTCCTCTGGTGCCTCTCACTAGGTTACAAAGCTCAGCCTTTCATAGGATTGAGTTAAAGCAGTTCAAGTGGAAGTACAGCACTACACTTACATTGTGTGAAAGGATTTGAGCTTTTGGCATGCAGAAAAGACTATCATGCCCTTCCAAAATACTGTAAAATCAAAATTATAATCCCTTATGTTCAAAAATTACTTGAACACAAAACCTAAGCTAACAGGTTTTGTCACATTTCTTCATACATGGGAGTTTTTCACGTGAGAGATCAAGCCAATATGTTCAATCAGTTTAGACATTACCTTTTGATGCTTTGGGTCCACATGGCTATATTACGAACTCCAGCAATAATATGCAGATTCCACTGAAGATTCGAATGAAAGATTACAGATACTTCAGAACAGAAACTCGTGACCTACATACCTAGGCCAAAAATTCATCATTCAGTGAACAAACAACATTGCTTCGTCTAAGAGAACGATACTCTTTGCATACTCTTCCCATTAAGGCAGTTGAAGGACATAAGAGAGAGAGCAGGCAAAAGAGAAGCCACAAATGCCCTGGCTCTTTTAAGACAAATCCATTGGAAATAAAGCTTGTCCAGCTTGCTTTTCAACAAGTTTGTGGCACTTAGATAGTTTAAAGCATGTAAACCAGCCACAATCAAGATTCGGCATTCCTGTTTTTTTCTATGGGCATTCCAAGGGGAGAACCACTTCCGCAGTATAAGGCAAGGCAAGGCACTGGGATCAATTTTTTTTACTCAGGAAACTCAAGATTAAAAAACACATGGTGAGAACAACATGATCCATACATCATCATCATCACACAAGAATTCATATCATCTCGAGGTCACATCTCCAGGAGTTTATCATCTCAGGTACAAAGGATTGTCCTGGACTTCCTTAGTGAAGTTCCACCTACCACTCAGGTCTGTTGGCACGACATCTGACTTGCCAACATCGTAAAAGTCAGGAATCATACGCTGATATATGCTGGTGATGCAAAACTGTACGGCGTTTCCCTTTAGCCGTTAAGAGGCACTAACAGAACTAGGGAGCACTTCCATTTGTTTGACATGAAAATATTCTCTTTTGTACAAATAACTGCTAAATACAAAAAGTAAAATTAAAAAAATAACTTTCCCCCCGACAAAGTTTAAAAGCATCTCATATATAGCGTAGAAGAAAAAATGCACTTTCCCATAAGATCTACCAATTCTACCAATTTTCCTTTGTTGCTCCCCTCCTCTAGAAGATCAATAAGGTACTAGATGTGGCATCATTTGGGTAATGGTTTTTATATTTGTGAGATATAGATATATAATAATAATAATATTTATATATAAATGTTCTGCATATTTTGAACTGAAAATATATGTTACAGACCACACGCATATAAAATGTGAAGCACTTAAAGGGTGATTAAAATGTCTAATTGATAACATGGGTGGAGGGAAGGGGAGAGAAGTGAGACTGTTTCAGATTATAACCATGTCACAATAAAAAAAAGTCTGTAAGAAATAATGATAGAAGCCACATAAAAATAAGCTTTTAACTGTTTGCACTTTTTCTCAGTTTTTTTAAAAAAACATTAAGTGCATGGCTAATAAATAAAATCTGCAAGTTTCCTTATAAACAATAATTCCTAGTGTCCAGCAATATTGTAAACAGTACACATATGTAAAATGCAGCTTAACAAAAATTAAAGAGAGAAAGATAAAGAGAGTCAGTTACAAATTCAATTCCCCATGTTGACTTCCCACTATTCAAGGACACAGATCAATGAGTACGGCAGCCAATCCCATTTTTTTGGCAAGTCATGTCTTTCAAACCAAACAGTAACAGTGCAAGTAAGGAATGCAAAGAATCCCTAGTGCAATAAAGAAACAAAGCGCAGGCAATGTCGTTGATTAGAATTGACCGCTTCCACGTGTTTTAAAACTTGGGAGCAACAAGGAAACACTTTTCGTTTTGTTTCTTTTTATGAAATTTTTTAAAAAGCCACATTTAAAAGCCACGGTTGTAATGCCCCAGGTTTGTCTTAGGACTGTCTTCCTCCCATAGGCCACAAGAGATTCAGCATTGTCTTTAGAGACCAGTCATTTGCAGAACATGGTGGACAGTCACCAACGGAGGCTCCCATGGTTCCATTTCCCCTCAAACGACTGGTTCAGGTAAACAACTTCATCTAGACCTGAAGCCACATAAGATCGAATCCTAGAATTCCTCATGCTGTAGTTCCAGGCAGGGCACAACCTTTAAGTCTTTGTCCGAGTCATGTATTTTCAACAGTCAGCTTTGAGCTTATCTAGGGAATTGTCAATTTTGGTCAAGGTCTTTTTGATGCGTAGAGCTGTTAATCTGGCAGATGGATTGTGATACCAGCATTCTTTCATCAACTTGGCAAGGGAAGTTAACGTCTGAAAACGAAACAGACATACGTATTAAGTAAACATTCAGATTTCTGAATCATTATTAGTATTAATTTCACAGCAAATTAATTGTATTTTATAGTTTTGGAAATTGTATTTTATGGTCTTGGTACCGACTGTAAACCACCCCGAGTCACTTACAGGTTGAGAGGGATGGTATATAAATGTAGTAAATAAATAAATAAAAGTGTATGTGTATTTATTTATTTATCCTATTTATACCCCGCTTTTCTCAACTCCAAAGGGGACTCAAGGCGGCTTGCAAATAGGCAATTATTCAATGCCTTAAAGCAACATAAATTCCAATGAACATTTAAATTAAATTAAAATTATAACTAAAATTAATACATATTAAACATTTAAAAATATTATATTCAATATTAAAAATCCTTGAGTTGTCTTCGGGCTTGAGAAAGGTGGGATAGAAATATTGTAAATAAATAAATAAATAAATAAATAAAAATCACACCATCCATATTAAGCTTAGTTCACACATGGTGCCAACTATGGTGAACAAATCTATAGTTTGTCATAGCTGAATTAGCTGGATAATCTAAAAGAATGACGATCTTGGAAACCAGTGTGAGAAACCAGAATTGGGGTGATTTCTGAACGGACAAACTAATGGAAAACAGAAAATCTATGCCTCTAAACTATGGTTCCTCTCAATGTTTCAGGTACCAAATATTATTTGAACCAATAAAACTATTATCACACCACGATTTGGCATTAACTAAACCACAATGTGGTCTGTAGAAACTTCAGTGTCTTCAAGCAAGGATTCAGAAGGAAGACCTCAAATGGAGTTCTTCTGTTTTCTACAGTTACTTGTAGAATAATTTGGAAAAGAAAATGGCTAGAAAAGCAGGGACATATACTCATAACATTGTCCAGTATCTATATTACACCTATATTCCAGAGGCAGGAACTAGCAAAGTAACCACTTGAGTATTGCTTGCCTTTGAAAGCCCTATGAAATTCATGGCAACATCATAAATTGACAGAGGGCCAAAGGAAAGCTAACAAGGGGCTAATCTACCACTTAGGATGGCAAAGAGTAATGTAAGATCAGGGATGATACCCTTTGCCAATCAAGGTTCCTGTGGGAATAGAGTTGCTAAACATCTGTAACCTTTGAAGGTGATGTAAGGTTGGTACCTAAGAGTCAAGAATGGCTTTTTAAAAAACTAAGTAGTTCAGATTTAAAAAGACAGAAATGCAGAAGGTTATCAGGAAGGTCTTTCTTTTGGGAGGGAAAAGACATCTGAACTCTTTGGCTCAAGAAAATAGTTTTTGTTAAAAATGTATTGGACTTTCGGAAACACATTTCCTCATTTACTACCACCTTGATGCTTGCTTCTTTTTGTGTAGGTCTGCCATCTTCTTCAGAACCTGATTACAAAGTACATGAAAATAAAAGCTACCCAGGAAAGAAATACACATTTCCTTTAGAACTGCAAGGATTTTTTTTCCAAAGAGGTGACCAACAGGGTAGGGGACACCAAGCTTATCTTTGCTCCAAGTTCCCCAAAAGATGCTTCCAGAAGTAAGGAAAGGTTATTTGCTTTATATGAAGGGAGGCAGATTGGTGGTTAAACAAACGTAATTGCCCCGGTAACATCAGATTTGGCCCATAATAGGATTATAATAGCTGGTTGTGTATGTGTGTGTTTTTAAATCTTAACACAAGCTTAGGTAGAAGAAAATATAGTTGAACATTATGGTCAGGAACACTTACAGGATCTGAAAACCATCTGTTGGGAATGTTTGGCCTTTGCTGATCCACGCAGACTACTTTTCTCATATCTTCAAAACTAGGGTCATTAGGAACTACATCATAAAATGGAGGCTTGTAATCTTCAACGATACCTATGAGCAAAATATAAAACACCACAGCAAACTTACTGGTTATATTCTACTAGTATGCTTTAAAGTGTTCATTAGCAAGACAAAGTTCACTATATTATGATGATCGTAATAAGTCCAGCCAAAGTGAAACACTTGTGACATTTCGCCAGCATTATGAAATAAAGTCCTTCATACAGTTAAGGCATTCATCAACCACTTCTCCCTGTGGACTAGAACATCGCTCGTTATTCTGCTAGCCAAATGAAACAAAGCCACATGTACAGCAGACAACTCCAACCTTTAACAAATCTTGGTAGAAAGAAAAACATAGAAAGATTCCACAACTTCTAAATACATATTTTCACATTGTTTAAATCCTAAATAGGACATGATGGAGGCAATTAAATATTAGGTGTGTGCAAAATGGCAGAAATCTGTTCTGTTTACGCCCTCCACCCACCGGTTCTATATTTGGGAGGATTCCAGGAGATTAGGAGGGAGGCCATTCAGATTTGTAATTCGTGATCCGGATTTCAGTTTTGTTAATAATTTGCGATCTGGGGTTCAGTAGCTGATGTGCCAAAATGTGGTACCGAGTCATGGCACACAGGCGGGGGCGGTTGCTGGTCCTTTGCACTAGATAGCATGAAATGCAACACTGTAAGTTGCCTGACAAGAAGCCTGCAATCCATAATCATTCTCACTGAAGTGCCAAATATGAAGAGAAATTATGCTGGAGTACAGGCTGCTACCTCAAGACAATTCCTATAATCCATCTTCTAAACATAAACATTTCCAATGCATCTTGCATTCCATTTTGGCATGCGTTCAAGAATTTTGTTGAGATGTACACATCAGTGTATATTACTATGAATCAAAAGAAAGGTAAACTCAATCGTTTCAGGCAATGATAGCGAGTGATGTTATAATTTAATATTTGTATAGCCGCTTTTGTTTTTGTATTACGATTTGTTCATCTGTGTTGTTTTGGTTGCTATTATTACTATGTATTTTGTATTTTTGTTGTAAGCTGCCCCAAGTCCCTTTTGGGAGAGGGGGCAGGATACATATAAAGTTTATAATTATTATTGAAACACAGCAAGATGAGTCCACAGCATACATGATCACAATGCTGGCTGTTGTATTGGAACACACATCAGACACTTCCCAATTGTCTAGGACTGTGTGATGTATTGGCGAATAATGCGTGCAGATCCCAGTAAGGTGGCCTTTTGCAGCTGACAGCTGGTAATTTTGTCAGCTTGTGTTTAAGTGCAGGCCAAGGTCTTTAGGCACTGCACCCAGTGTGCTGATCACCACTGGGACTATCGGTTGTTGTTGTTGTTGTTGTTGTTGTTAGTGCTGTCCAGGTTTTAGTCCGAGCTTTAAATTATCTGTCCAAGATACCGAATCCCATTCCCCCCAAACTTTAAGCATCTCGGATAACTTCTCTATAGTTCAGATTCTGTTCGAGATTAACTCTTCAGCAATGTCTTAACAATGCGCATTTAACTAATCCATATTTTTAAAATAAACAAAATTTTAGTGATAAACAAAATCAACATCTTAGTAAAATTGCATCTCAGTTATCACTGCCTTTCAAAACTTGCAATTCATAATAAACTATGCTGAAAACCCTCTCTCTTTGTCTGTGTGTGATGGAGATCAGCATACAGCTTTATCGGTTTACACAAATGTTGACAGATTTTGCCAATGAAATAACATATGTTATTCTATGTACTTGCAGAAGGCAGGTGGAGCAAACTAAGTTTTTCATGAAACCCAGACATCTGGCATCCCATGAAAACCTGGACAGTTACAAACACAAGTTATTCCTGGGGAAACTGAGAAAAATAACAACACGAAATGTTGAGACAAAGATGAATGCTAGTAAAATTGGCACTGAAAGTATTTCTGAGAATCTGAACAAAAACCCATATTGATTGTTTCTGAATGCTTTCTTTTCCCCAACTCTTTATAATGATAACAATCCTCTAGCTGCAATGACTCATATATAATTAACTTTTCGAAAAACTGTTGTACCTTACCCTACAGGCTGGGCAGCACACCCCAAAAAATCCCATAAGGACAGACTTCTGGAACAGAGGCAATGGCAATTACTGGATTCTTGAGTGGCAGCTCAACATGATATTCCAGCATGTCTAACAATAAGGATGGTATTTCTGCCAGGTCAGAAGAACCATCACTCAGATTCAGCTGTTGGGTACATCAGCCCATTTGCATACATGTGAAACATGTAACTCTCTTGCTACTCACAGTTTTGTAACTTTGGTTACCTGTACAATATAAAATTAAGGGGGGGGGGTTGGACCCAGGTTATCTTAAATTCTACCTGTTCCTCTGCCCTGAATTTGAGATTTTCAGCAAAAGCTCTATTGTTTGTCCAACCACTCAGAGGGTTCCGACTATACAAGAGAGGGCTTTTTTCTGCAACAACATCTCATTTGTGGAGCTCCCTCTGAGGGATTTTCCTGCTTCTTGGTACAGGGTTCGACTGGATGGCCCACGAGCTCTCTTCCAACTCTATGATCCTATGAAGGCAGATTGGGTTCTTCTCTCCTTGTTGAGCTTCTAGCACGTGTACCACTACCACCAATGATGTGCTGGCTGATACCCAAACAAGGGGTGGGCTGGAGATGTCACTGCCTTGGTCCTTTCACTATTGGCTGCTACTTCCCAGTGGATGTCAGGTGGTGCAATACCGGCTAGACAGTGTAATTTCTCCAGTGGTGTAGGGCGCAGACACCCCGTGATAATGTGGCATGTCTCATTAAGAGCCACATCCACTGTTTTAGCGTGGTGAGATGTGTTCCGCGCCGGGCATGCATATTCAGCAGCAGAGTAGCATAGCGCAAGCGCAGATGTCTTCACTGTGTCTGGTTGTGATCCCCAGGTTGTGCCAGTCAGCTTTCGTATGATATTGTTTCTAGCACCCACTTTTTGCTTGATATTCAGGCAGTGCTTCTTGTAGGTCAGAGAACAGTCTAGAATTTAATCTATACTTTATTAAACATCTATACTAACATAATTGAGTTTTATGCTGTAGTGGGTATAAAAAAGTTGGTTTCTTTCTAAAAGAAACTTGACCTAATCTTAATTAATGAATAAAATATATGTATAATCTGTGAATTCCTTGGGTACACATTCTTATTTTTAAACCACCTTGTAGTGGCAATAGGTTCTGAAAATTGGCTAACATACATGTCAAATTAACTTATAAATCAGGCACGGACAAACTCTGGCCCTCCTGGTGTTTTGTACTTCAACTCCCAGAAATCTCAGACAGCTTACCAGCTATTAGGAATTTTGAAAGTTGGAATCAAAAACACCTGGAGGGCTGAAATTTGCCCAGGCCTTATAAAGTAAACTGGTAAATTTTACTGGTTGCCATCAGTTAAACTTTTTTGTCTTCATCCCATATGATGCCTGCATTTTATGTTTTGATGGCTGGAGCCATTGTGATATATATATATATATATATATATATATATATATATATATATACACACACACACACACACACACACACACACACACACACACACTAGCCGTCCCCTGCCACGCATTGCTGTGGCCCACATGGGGGTTCTGTGTGGGAGGTTTGGCCCAATTCTATCGTTGGTGGGGTTCAGAATGCTCTGGGATTGTAGGTGAACTATAAATCCCCGCAACTACAACTCCCGAATGTCAAGAATCTATTTTCCCCAAACTCCACCAGTGTTTACATTTGGGCATATTGAGTATTTGTGTTGAATTTGGTCCAGATCCATCATTGTTTGAGTCCACAGTGCTCTCTGGATACAGGTGAACTACAACTCCAAAACCAAAGGACACTACCCACCAAACCCATCCAGTATTTTCTGTTGATCATGGGAGAATTGTGTGCCAAGTTTGGTCCAATTCTATTGTCGGTGGGGTTCAGAATGCTCTTTGATTGTAGGTGAACTATAAATCCCAGCAATTACAACTCTCAAATGACAAAATCATAATTTTTTGAGTGATGGTCACTCCTTGTGTTGTAAAACGTTTTGTTGCCAAATTTGGTGTGATTTCGTTCATTGGTTCTTTTGTTTTTAAGGTACACATTATGCACAGAGCATTCTCTCTCTCTCATATATATATATATATATATATATATATATATATATTCATTCTGTTAACTGTATTACGTTAAAAGAAGCAATTGTCTAACTTTTACTCTAATTTAAGAAGAAACAATTAACAAAGCCAAATTTTTACGCAGCCTATGGGGACTGATTTTGGATCCAGAACTACTAGCAAAAGCCAGCAAGGCACCATGAACTATGATCTCCACAGCCTTTACAAACCTTTGACACATCTTTTCTTTCTGTTCCACCAGAAAAGAAGAAAATGAATAATTAAAAAACCCATCAGCCTTCCTATAGGCAACACTACTATTCTTTAAACATCGGTCTGAAGATGTCTGCATGTCCAAACATTCCTTAACTGCACCAGAGAGGCTACTTAACATAATGCAAAGTCCAAAATTGGGGCCATTTAAGGATGAGGGGCAGCTGAACAGTACTGGCATCTTTTTGGCCCATCCTGAAGCTCCTCTGAGGATTTTGATTTCACGGAAAGGATTGCAGCATTTGTTCTATCAACTGGAAAATCCAGAGGGAAATGGATGGCCAGTGGCTGCTACCATCCTTCTTCCCCTCCCCTCCCCTCCCTCCCAATCCATCTCCTCTACACTCTGTTTTCTCTTCGGAAGCAAAAGAGCACCAGTCATAACATAAAACTCATCACTCAACTCTTGCTCTGATCACACTGATATACATACTCGGAAAAAAAAGAAGCTTTTCTTCCTTGCTCAAAGTTAAGATTTGTTTTGGAACTGCTTTTAGCAGGAAGGAGCAACTAAGATTTTCAAGCACATTGTTTACAATTACAGTGGAACCTCAACTTAAGAATGTCCCACTTAAGGGCATTTTGAGTTAAAAGCTGTTGCTTGGGCTAGATTTTGCGTTTACATACGAGCAGCATTTTTCATGAAGGACTAGCGCCAGAGGGAGCATTAGAGCGAGAGTACAGGGCTTTAGGGCTTCAAGGGAGCAACCTCCGTGCTCTTGTCCGCTTTGAGAGATTGCTGTCTGCTTTGTTCTTATCTGCTTTGAGGAACTTTGGGCTAGTTGATTTTGTGTGGTTTTTATTCCTTGTATGCTTGGCTTCATGAAGTGCAAGAGATCAAGAGAGAGAGGGAGGCTAGAATGAGTACAGTATAAAGAAAGTGATGCTTCTGCCTCTTCACTTTGTGCCTTGTGTTTCCTTGCCACAACTTTGTGCTTCTAACATTGTGCCATAATTTTGTGCTTCTACCATTTTAAAGTAGATATTTCTTTTTTATTGGTTCCATGTGAATGTGCATGCATACATTATTTGTTAGGGCTGGGCGGTTTCGTTTCGTTAATTCGTAATTCGTTAATAATTCGTTAATTTTTTCAATTACAAAATGATAACGAACCATTCTGGAGCAGTTATTAAAAAAACGAATTTTCAAAAACTTTTTGTAAATGCTTCGTATTTCGATATTGTATTCGTTTCGTTATTGTTTTGAGGTCGTTTCGTTATTATTTCCGCATGTCTGGGCCAGTTTTATGGTTTAATTAGTGAAAATAAATTATAATATCACACCAACAGTCAACAACAGAGGGAGAGGGAAGCTTCAGAAGGTTTTGGAGGTTTTTTAGCGTATTTCGCGGTTGCGTCCGCCATTAACGAATCGATTCGTTATTGTTTCGGAAATCGATTCGTTAATTTTTTACCATTTACGAAATTTCGTAAATATCGAACTTTTTAAAAGGAAAATTTTGTAATTATTTTAAATATCAAAACAAAAAAACCCCCCAAATACAAATCGATTTTAGAAACAAATTTTTCCGTTGTTACCCAGGCCTATTATTTGTTATTTATAAAGTACATTTTCTTGTTTAAAAACACATAACAAAATGTGGGACATTTTTTGAGATAAGAGCATTTTGATTTAAGAATTCAGTAATGGAACAAATCAAACTCTTAAGTCAAGGTATCACTGCATTTCTGCATCTCTTTCTCTCCTAACCCTTGTTCAGGTCAAGATGCCAGAGATATATGACAGCTATGTATATTTCCAGCAATAAAAAGTGCAACTGAAGTCATATACGAACCTGAGCTACCATGTAACTCATCAAGCAACCCACTTATTAATTTGATGAAAGGGGCAGATCATGTTTTGAAGGCACATCTCAACCTTGTATTTTGAGACTTCTAATTGACATTGGTAGTAAGGAACGGAGCCTACTGACCAGTTAGGTTTGCAGAGCTTGTAAATACATTACAATTAATTCAGTATGTTAATATTTTAGCAACAACTTTAAATGTACTTATTTTAATTAAATCCCAAAAATGTTGGGGGAGGGGGAGGGAGAGTAACAATATGTTTCTAATTTCTTTACCTTGTTATTATTTTAACTGATTCCAAAGAGCTTTTTAAAAAGGGTTTTAAAAAAATAACTGATTACATTTTGTGGTTTTATTTTTCATTTTACTACTCTCTAAAGAGTTTTTATTATTGTTATTCAAAACTAATATGCTAGTGCTAACAGAGACATTTTCAAACTCTTATAGGGACCTCATATATGTATTCCCCATTGTGCCATTGTCTGGTCAACTTATTTTAAGTAATGAATTTCAGGCAGATTTAACTTTTGCACAGCCCATTAAGGCTTTGACCAATAATCTTTTCATTCTGTCAGAAATGAGAAAAGGTAATCTTCTCTCTCATGGCAGTAGCGCAGAGAAGGATATATACAACTCATGTTTGCCAGTCTGAGTGGCAATGAGGACACACTGTGGTATGCTACCTGCTATTTCAGCTGGTAGTGGGAGAGGGGGAAAACCCAAGGATATTGGTGTCTGTATCCTTATCAAATAAAGTGATAAAATATGTCTTGACACACAACATCGTCTAGATATACTAAATCCTATTTAGATACTGGAATTGATCTTAGTCTGTTATTTGGTGACAACCATTTTATCTCTTAATAAGGGTTGACCTTGTTAGCTTCCAATATCGAATGGGATCTGGTGCCTTTAGGATATATAAGCAAGGACTCTTAGGTTTTTAGAAGTCTTTAATTAAGATCAAGTAACTTATCCTTTTAAAGAGAGCAGTTAAGACTTGCACAGGACAGATCTCAATGGAAGGGACTTTGCCACTGCTATTGGATTTGAAATTTTATTGCCTATGTTTTCCTGCCCTTCGTGGCCAAGAAGGGCAGCAGCTTCTGCTGGCACTGAAATCCCTCCATACCATCTTAGCTGATGACACAGCCTGTAACCCTAGCATCATTCCCTTTCTTCTCCTATACATTCTTAACCTCTTTATCTGATGAAGAATCTAGTGATGCTGGCAGTTACTATGATATACTTTGTACTTTTTAGTTGTCCCAATAAAGGTATCAATATTTTGTCGATTTTGTATTTGACTACATGGTCAACACGGTTCCCCCAAACGTGTTTACATGCTACTCAGAAGGGTGATCTTACATAATGTTGAACTGCACAGAATTTTTCAGTGGACAAAAAAATGCTCTCCTCTTTAGAAAACTGTCCCACTAGTTGGGATGGTGATGAAAGTGAGACAGAGAGGAGAAGGATACGTGCATATGTTACCTATCCTAATTACAGAACATATGAACGGAGGTTCCCCCCCCTTGAATCTATTAGTTGAGTCTGGAAATTAAAGTTGAATCACACTGCTAAAATTGTGTAATGTGAAAGAGGCCTTGATCTTTCTTCTCGTGAAGGTTGGAATGATGCATTGATTGAGTTGCTCTTTTCTACACCATAAGGCAGTGGTTCTCAACCTTGGGTCCCCAGGTGTTTTAGCCTACAACTCCCAGAAATCCCAGCCAGTTTACCAGCTGTGGGGTAATGAATGGAACATTTTCCATAAATAAGTATCTACGTACCATTGCTAACCATGCGCCTGGCCACTTCCCAAAGGACGAGTCCAAATGCCCAAATGTCAACTCTTTTGTATGAGTCGAAGCAGTCCACCTGGATGGTCTCGTCCAAGACCTCTGGAGCCATGTACCGCTTGGTACCTACACGAGGGTTGTTCCCCACATCCAACTGGTTGGTGCTTTGGGAGTGCATGACTGCAAGGCCTGCAAACCAGAATCACAGTTAATGTCATTGCTATAATTTCTGTCATGCTTCTATGTAGGAAAACAACTTACAGCAATTATCACCCCAATTTCTAATCAGTTACATAGATAAGGAAGACAACAGGTATTCCTTAGCAGAATTTATGGAAAGGTAATTTGTTCTTTCGACCCATTATGCTTTTTAATGACTATTGCATAATTTTGAGCTTATGAACACCACATATTTCTGAGTATTTATAGTAGTAAAATAAATAGTGAATAGGAGCAGGACTTTTTTAAAAATATAGTGCCCTCCAGTGGTTGCTGAAATACTTTTCTGAATCAGTTCTTTAGTAACTCCAGCTACCCAAAGGCCCTCAAGAATCACATCAGGTTATTTCTGAATTATGCAGTGTTCTATCTAAAACAGATAAAGAAAGGAAAATAATATAGGGGAGCCCACTCACCTAGATCTGCTATGCAACACTGCCCATTTTTTTTCACCAGGATATTTTTACTCTTCAAATCCCGATGTGCGATGGCAGGCTTCCCTTGGGTCCCAAATATCTCTATGTGCAAATGCGCAAGGCCGCTAGCTATGGACAAGACTATTCGTAAGCAGCTCACGGTATCCAGAGTAGTGAGCTGTAGGTAGTCGTATAAAGAGCCCATCTCATGGTAGTGTGTAATTAGCCACAACTGAGTACTCGAGTTCCTAGAAGTCATATCTGAGGCAACAAAGCCTAAAAGAAGAAACGAGGAAACATAAGACAAAAAACCAGAAAGGTCCAAGGAAGTAGCCAGCGTTTTCAATGCTCTTATTTATTATTTATTTACTTACTTCATTTATACCCCATCTTTCTCACCTCACAAGTTATTCAAGGTGGCTTACAAACTCCGCAAAAATTCAATGCCACATATAAACAAAACAATAAAAACGTACCCCATCAACTATAAAACAATTAAAGCAAAATGAGCAAATTAAAATACAAAGGCCTATAAAAACAGATTAAAAACATATATAAAGTGCCGAGTTTTAATTCCATACTTATTGATTAATCCACAGTCCTTATTCAGATTGTTGAAGTCGAAAACAGTAATTCCTTATTCCCGAAACGCCTGTGTACAGAGCCAAGTCTTTTGCTTTTTTCTGAATACCAGAAGGGATGGTGCCTGCCTGATGTCACTGGGGAAGGAGTTCTACAAGCAAGGGGCCGCCACTGAGAAGGCCCTGTTTCTTGTCCCCACCAGTCACGCTTGTAAGGGGGGCAGGACCGAAAGCAGGGCCTCCCCAGCAGCTCATAAGGGGAGACGCTTTCGGACAGGTTAAGTTGGACCAGAACCTATTATCCTTCTTCCCTATTATCCTTTCTATGGAACTGCAAAATTCCTCATTTCACAAAAAAAGGAAAAACAGGTAATAGTTTGTCAATAGGGAAAACTCAGAACCAAATCTGGGTGCACAATAGCAAAGAAGTGGAACATTGACACAGGGATTGTAACATCAGTCACACAAGATGTCACTGGAAAGGTTTTATCAAGCCCACAAGATATGAGAATTAAGAGTCCTCTTGAACTGCTGTTAAATTTTAGCTTTTACTTCCAATCCCACATGGTTAAGAGGGAGAAACTCTCCTCCACTCTCTTCCCAGCCTATAGCATATTGGCATCAAAAAAGGAAGTTGGAAGACAAAGCACAAAACCCACACAAGCTTAACAACATAATAACTTTGAATTTATACCTGAAAGGTCTCATATGAAATACCCCACTTTATAAAAAGACATCTGACAGGTCTGGAGCACACGTCCATTTGGTGGCTTTTTAGCCAACCAATAAATATTCAATTTTATTTGCAAATCAAGTACTTATTCCTAATTAATAATTACAATTTGAACACACAGAATAACAAAGAAATGTTTGAGATACACACACACACACATATTGCAAACTTTGTTTTCTAAGGAAGTCGTGTTCATAGAGTATGTTTTTCTAATCATTATCTTAGCTCAGTGGTTCTCAACCTGTGAGTTCCCAGATGTTTTGGCCTTCAACTCCCAGAAATCCTAACAGCTAGTAAACTGGCTGGGATTTCTGGGAGTTGTAGGGCAAAACACCTGGGGACCCACAGGTTGAGAACCACTGACTTACATGCTGGGATTAGTCTAACCCAATATATAACTCTGGCAGTTATTTTTTTCTTCTTTTATTAAAACCAATAGTTTGGGATAATATAAATAAGATATTGTTATTGTTATCATGCCTACTGGGATTGCTACTGTAGTTTTAAAGAGCCAGTTTATAGAATAAGTTTTAGTGTTTATATTGGAAAGTGTTTATTAAAACGGAAAGAAAAAATATTGTAATATAACACTTTGTGGACATGGTACCCAAATCTGTTTAATCCTTCCCCACCTATCAATGTAAAAAGTGATATTGTTTGATCTCCTCACCTAAAATATTTTCATGCCTCAACAACACTGTATTGTATAACTCTGTTTCCCTGAACCAGGATTTTTCATCTCGGGAAGAGAAGATCTTGACTGCCACGTTTTCTCCTTGCCAATGTCCTCGCCAGACCTCTCCATATCGGCCTTTCCCTAGAAAGGGCAAGAAGATACAAGGAATATTAAGAGTACATTTTGATCACGCAAAAAGAAGTACCAATAGCATCACACCTAGAAGCAGAAATGCACAAATCTCTAAAAATAATTGTGTAACACTCACACTCCAACTAAATACTCTCCATTCAAAACACTTTGTTGCTTCGTACATGCATGCACATGGATATGTGTGTGAATGCAAGAAGAAGGAGGGCCTGTTGATACCAGGAACCCACCCACAAATTCCTTATGGAAGCAACATGTAAGCCTGAGGCTGTTTAATCCTAGTCATTATTGCACTATACCTGGTATGAACTACAACATGAGTAAAGACTTGGTTCAAGGTTGCACTTTCAGTGGCTAGAGCCAGCTTTATCCTTGGCAGTGAAGGAATAAGGGAGAGAGGTTTGAACCTTGAAATTTTATTTTATTTATTTATGTACCTTATTTATACCTCACCTTTCTCTACCCTGAAGGGAACTCAAGGCAGCTTACATATAGACAATTATTCAATGCCTTAAAACGCATACAATTCCAGTAACATTAACATTAAAATTAAATTAAAATTAATACATATGAAGCATTTAAAAACATTACATTCCATATTACAATCATGCCAGCCATAATTGTAGTGCAAGCCGTTCCATAGTCATTGCACATATTCTAAATCGGTTATTGCATGGCACTATTCTCTGAAAGCCTGACCCCAAAGCCAAGTTTTTACTTTCCTTCTGAAGGCTAGGAAGGAGGGGGCTGATCTAATGTCGCTGGGGAGGAAGTTCCATAGCCGAGGGGCCACAACTGAGAAGGTCCTGTCTCTCTTCCTCACCATTTGTGCTTTTGAGAAAGGTGGGACCAAGAGCAGTGCCCTCTCCAGACGATCTTAATCTCTGAGGTGGTTCATAGGGGGGCATAAGTTCGGACAGGTAAGCTGGACTGGAACCGAAATTCACAAGGCCTGGATATGCAACTTTAGCTTTTACAAGTTCTATATAAATGAGAATCAGACCTATAGCTTAAGTAGTTAGAACAAGCCCTTGCTGCATGCTCAATTGCTTTGCGGTGCAAACAGGCCCCAACTAGTAATTACAGTTCCAAAGAGATTCTGGATAAAACTTCACTAATATTTACTGTGCAACATGTTCTAAGAGCCAAAGAAATAACTGAAAAGTAATCATTGCCTAGGTGTTCAGAGCTTTAATCTCTCACACAAAATGCTGTTTTATATTAATCCAGAATCCAGCATGCAATGGAATTCCTTCCTGCACATTCATATTCTTTTAACTGGGATGATCTAGGACTGGAATGGTTTTTTTATGCTTGAAAAATTGATGATCTCATACTGAATCATGTCTGTCTCTTGCCAGATGAAGTCATATAGAAGACTCATTGATTTAGCCAAGAATAGTGTGGTGCCTGTTCTGCACATAAAAAGGCAGGTGAGAGAAAATGTACCAATCTCTCCAGTGTGAGAAAATGGCACTGTAGATGGGAGTCGTATATAAGCTGCCCACAAGAGACCCTGTGTGCAACCTTAAGGATCGAAAATAAATTTAACTCAGTGCAATGCCACCTGCTCTCCTTGGCAGCAACACATGCCTGAAGCTGATCTCTCATTTCTTTACCTCATTTTTGGCATGTGTTCATCAGTGACAGGTGTAATCCAGGGTAAAGGGGACACATGACACTTATGAGGCATTGGTGTTACACAGAAGGGACTTCCTGTCCAAAAATTCCAACTTGCAATGTAATACAGGCTTGCCATTTAACTGTCTGGCCTTTTAGAAGAGATACCTCCTCTAACAACAACAACAACTCAATAATGCTCATCATACCCAGAATGAAATTATTCTACATAGCTGAAAAAACTGTGGCTACAGTTCTAGGAAAATGACTCACTGAGCCTCCCATGTCACCTCCCACTTACAGGTGTGACACCTGTGCCATTCCTATGATCATGGAAACAAGGTGCCCTTGTACTCTGGTGATGGCAGAAATGATACACCTGACTGCACCAAGGTGAGAGGGAGGCACATAAGAAAGACTGAAAATGGGGGAGGCATTTAATTTTAGCTGCCATGACTTTCCTCATCTTAGACGGCAGACAATCCCCACACTGGTTATGGTCGTTCACACCGAGTTCCTGGATTCCTGCCTAAAACCCCTTCTGAGAAATAGTATACAGCGCCAACGTTTATATGGCACATAATTAGAAGTCTCCCAAGCAAGTGCCTAAACAGCTGTTGATTGCTGAGATTCAGAACGTCAAGATTATGTACAAATTTACTCAGCAAGGGCAGCAAGCAAGGAGTCATGAATGCCACACATGGTTTCCATTTGGGTTCCTAACTATGTTCCAATCAATACAAGCAATGATTTAGCTATATAAGCTGCACATTCAAATGAAGTTGATAGCTAGGAATCTTTTCCTTATATTCTTTTATTCTGTATCAGAAGCTTATGCAGTGTGCGTGGTAATCAGCAAGTTTTCTTTTTCCCATTAGTTAACCATCTCATTTTACTATGTTCTTCCTTCCCACTGCCTGAACGAACTTTACTGCAAAATAGAATTTCACACTTGAAATACTAAAGGAAAACTCGCTCGGAGCTGCTGCTTTGTGATTTGAAATTTTAGGTGGTGAAACAGCAACTCTGAAAATGAATGTAACAATATTCTCCTAGTGAGTTGTATGGGTTTTATTCAGGCACTCCACCACATGCAAACAGGACACTTCAGAAACAGAAGAGGAAAACAATCACTAACCTACACACTCCAGCAGTGTGATCTGGCGAGCGACTGTTCTTTGTACCAGAAATGGAAGGCCAGAACCACTCCCAGATGTACAGGAATGGTCCAACAAGTCCTATGTAGAAAGAAAAAACAAACACTGGAGTATTAATATTCAAATGGAAGGAAAACACATTCCATCAACTGACTACTTCAATGAGCCCACATTTTCCTGGACACGTCGGGAAATTAAACTAAAAGACAAGAGTACTTGCTGTTAGGAGAAACAACAAGACAAACAGGCACTGCTTCCCTGGGGTCAATAAAGGATTACAAGTCCTGTATATTCTGATATAGGAAAAGGTCCTATTGTCTTCCACTGAATTTATTTCTTAGGGGTTTAGTATTTCGTATATCTCTGGGAAGATAGAGTGGAATGCAGATGAAGATTATTATTATTTTATAAACACAAAAACACAGTATGACACAGCAAATGAGATATATATGCTGGATTTCGTATCACAAAATCACAAGTCGAACACTTCCCAAGCATTTAAGACTGTGTGATGTATTTTCGATTATGATTATTATTATTGCACTATATATTTATTTTCATGGCGAGCATATTGTTTAATGATCAGTTCCTGCTCCTACTAAGTCCTTAGTTTGACGGCTAAATCCAATTGAGAGGATCCACTGAGTTAACTATTAACTAATAGTAAGAGCCCCCAGTAGCGCAATGGGTTAAACCCTTGTGCCGGCAGGTTCGAATCTGGGGAAAGCAGGTTGAGCTCCCTCTGTCATCTCCAGCTCCCCATGTGGAGACATGAGAGAAGCCTCCCCCAAGCATGGTAAAACATCAAAATATCCAGGTGTCCCCTGGGCAACGTCCTTGCTGACAGCCAATTCTCTCACACCAGAAGCAATTTGCACACATACACAAAATTATTCAACTTTAGTTGCATTAGCAACAGAAAGGAGTTCATTATTAACAGAATCCTTCACAATGTTAATGAAAAATGACACTTCCAACACTACATAACACAATTTTTGTTCCTGGGTTATAATGTCATTTCCTAATCAATTCTATCATAAAAACATGGAAAAAGTATATTAAACTGCAAAAACTTTGTTTTTGCAGGACATCCGCTGCACATTTTGCTCTAGTTCTTTAATGAATATCTCATAAAGTCTCAACCAATTCAACGTAGTTTGTGGCAACCATATAAACGAAGTTTCTGGAATATAACAACTACTTTCAAAGTAAGTACAATGAAACAGGAAAGGCCATTTTCAAACCAGGAACAGCACATTTTTTCAAATGTTGCTATGTAAAAGGTAAAGGTTCCCCCTTGACATTAAGTCTATTTGTGTCCGACTCTGGGGGGGGGGGGCTCATCTCCATTTCTAAGCAGAAGAGCCAGCGTTGTCCTTAGACATCTCCAAGGTCATGTGGCTGGTATGACTGCATGGAGTGCTATTACCTTCCCGTCGGAGCGGTACCTATTGATCTGCTCACATTTGCATGTTTTCAAACTGCTAGGTTGGCAGAAGCTGGGGCTAACAGTAGGAGCTCACTCCACTCCCTGGATTCGAACCAGCAATTTCAGCAGCTCAGTGGTTTAACCCATTGCACCACCAGGGGCTCCTTTTGCTGCATAGTATTATTAAAATTGCCAGGCCTGAGAGTTTAAGTATTTAGCCCTCTGTCGTCTCTCCTCTCAACTCACTGGCAAATCAATGGTACGAGTTTTTAAAGACTACAGTCAGGGTCTTTCTTCCAGCAAAGTGGAGACTATTATTTGTAGACTTTCCAAAACAGAAAGCTGCATGACTGTGCAATTATGGGAATGTTCAAACAAGGGCATTTTACTAGAAAACGTATCAGAAAATTGAACTGTTAAGCTTTGTTTTAGGCCACGTGCCAAAAAAAAAAAAACAAAGCTGCAGACCTCTCTTTAATGGGACCCTTTCCCACTGGTTTAAATCCAAAGAATTCGTTCTGGAAAAAATACCCACTCCTACTCAGCACAATTTTATACAAATCACTCAAACTTCTGCATAATCTAAATTGGGAAGCTTGTCTTTAAATATCACAGAGAGGGGTAGAGAAAGCGAGTACTGTTGTAGCCAAATGCCAAATTTCCAACAGACACGTACTATATATAGACTGACTACAATACTCTTTTGAAAATATGCAGTCCAAATAACAAGTTCATTCCATTTTGACACAATTTTTAAAATACTAATTTAGGGCTGAGAAGTAATTTGTTAAATTTAGTTATGTGTTAACGGGCTAAACCCTTCCGACACCAACTTTAACAAGTAAATATGATGGGGTTTTTCTCTCATCAGGAGCAACTTGAGAAACTGCAAGTTGCTTCTGGTGTGAGAGAATTGGCTGTCTGCAAGGAAGTTGCCCAGGGGATGCCCTGATGTTTTACCATCCTGTGGAAGGATTTTCTCATGTTCCCGCATGAGAAGCTGGAGATGACAGATGGGAGCTCACCCTACTCCCTGGATTTGAACTGCCAACCTTGCAGTCAGCAGTCCTGCCAGCACAAGGATTTAATGTATAATGGGTGAATAGTAATAATTGCTCCTGAAGTAAAATGAGTACGAAGGTTTTGCCTTGTTACTTATTGCTCTGTGTGATTTCAAAGGGAGGGAGGTAGTAGGAGGGCACTGGAGATATGTAATTTAGGATATTATAGAGAATTGATATTTGCAGATCATGCTTTTTTCTATTAAGGGTGAACCTGCACTGCAGAATTAATGCATTTTGCCATTACTATACTTGCCATGGCTCAATGCTATGGAACCCAAGGATTTGTAGTTTGGTGAGGCACCAGTACATGTTAGCAGAAAAAGCTAAAGACCTTGTAAAACTGTAAGTCCCAGTATTCCATAGCATTGAGACGTGGCAGTTAAAGTGGTGTCAAACTGCATTATTTCTACAGCACAAATGCACCCTAGATGAATGGAAGGTTAAAAAAATGCCATTATTTAATGGTCAAATATTTCTGATAAAGAATTTTGATTCACCAACTGATCTTTGTTATTCCTTTCTGCTGCACTTCAGATGCGCCCCAACCGCCAGAGTCAGATGCGACTAGACTCTGGAGTCAGGGGAAACCTTTATGTTAACACTGCCATAAATAAGTAGGAAGTTGCTAAATTAAAGGTGTTTTAAACTCTAAATCTAATCTAATCTAATTTAAACCCCCATGATCTGGTAATTTCCAGTATCACTGTACTACAAATGCCACCATCCCCAGGCTCCTGTATTCCAACACATATAGAAAGTGCCAGGTTGAGGAAGACGCCTGTTGTTTGCTTTGATAACTTAACCAACAAATAAATGAATGCAATTCAAACAATCTAACCTACGGATGTGAGAGCTGGACCATAGGGAAGGCTGAGCGAAGGAAGAGAGATGCTTTTGAACTGTGGTGTTGGAGGAAAGTTCTGAGAGTGCCTTGGACCGCGAGAAGATCCAACCAGTCCATACTTCAGGAAATAAAGCCCGACTGCTCATTGGAGGGAAGGATAGTAGAGACCAAGATGAAGTACTTTGGCCACTTCATGAGAAGAAAGGAAAGCTTAGAGAAGACAATTATGCTGGGGGGGGGGGGGAAAGGAAGACGGGCCGACCAAGGGCAAGATGGATGGATGGCATCCTTGAAGTGATTGGATTGGCCTTGAAGGAGCTGGGGGTGGTGACGGCCGACAGGGAGCTCTGGCGTGGGCTGGTCCATGAGGTCACAAAAAGTCAGAAACGATTGAACGAATGAACAAGAAGCTATTTCAATTGTCAGTGTTAATGACAAGGAATGAATCCTTTAACACTTAAACACGCATTGACAAACCCAAACAAAAGAAAGAAGCTGATGTCACTATACACAACAAAGTCCAAACTTTGTTGTATACAGTATTTGGTGAATCATGTAGTATTATTTGGTGAATCATGTATAATTTTGGTGAATCATGTATTAATGCTCTATGTAGCTTTTGTATTTCATTTCTGTTCTTGCTGCTAGAAATCAGCTGCTTCCTGTTTATTATTTGGCACAATACATCATTTAATCCAATAATTAATCTTCATAGTACTATAGGGAGCATATAGTGATTCCATTTCAGATACCAACCACCTCCTTCCAATATGTTGGCACATTTCTCTCAGAAACAACGCATATAAAAATTGTCTGCTCTTAGGCCCACACACCTCCAGCATAAATGTTTTGCTAAATTCTTTGCTTATTCAGTTTTCAAGGTATCAAATACCAGTTATGCAAGATACTGAAATATTTTCCTCAAAGCAATTGAAAGGGGCTGCTGCTCTAGCCTTCATTACTAAAAGCCGTGTGGCATATATTCTCACGAACTGCAAACCTGCATTTAGTCTTATATTTTAAATGCATATTTCTCCTTCAACTTCAATATATTTTGGGTGGTAATGTATTGTTAATCTGAAATTGTATTCAGGATGTTCCAAATCAAGCTGGTAGCTGAGCTACACAATAATTCTTTAGTAGACTATCACATTTGCATTAGAAAACGTAAGGACTTGACTTTTAAAATAACTAGACTAAAATATCGTGGAGAGTTTGTATCTTACTCAAAAAGAAATAGTATGGATGAAGGTCAGTGAGAATCATTAGTTAATTATTTTCCCTTCATGAGAACATAACATTTAAGAATGCTTCTGAAACTAATGTCACTCTTGGACATCATTGTTTTAACTGACTTGTCAGCTCAATGAAAACTGAACTGTTACAAGGTGCCAAATTCCTTGCAAATTAACCAAAAACTAATGAATTTTATCAGTTTAAAAGATCTTGTTTTAGTTTTAGTATGGAGTAATTTCAGAGCTTTAAGTGAATCTTATTTAAAATAACTACTAATCGTTGTAAATGTAAAATATGTATTTTGTAACACAAACATAGTTTGCTGTACAGGCAGCACTCCATATCCACAGGTTCTGTATCCATGAGTACAACCAACCATGGCTAAGAAATATGGGGTGGGGGTGGAGGGTGGGGGAGAACTCAAAACATGCACATTGATCTCTAAACTGATTTGTAGAAATATCTTGTTGTAGCCTCCTGACATTTCACAGATCCGCAGACTATCCCTAGCTTGTGTTTTTTGTTATTTAATTTATTTTATTTTGCTATTCTATTGTATATCATGGGATTTTGGTAATCATTGGAACCAAAAGCTAGTGCGGCTCACTGTATGCCATATATACAGGCAGTCCCCGAGTAACAGACATCTGACCTACATCCAATACCAGTTAAGAACAGGGGTGAGACAATAGGTAGTGAGGAAAATCTTCCCCTCGAAAGGGAAATTCACTCATGAAAGAGTTATCAAGAGTTAAAAGGTGTCTCCACTGAAGCTTTTTCACCAATTCTTGTTTCCAAAATCCATTTCTCACAGGGACAGAAAGTGAAGTGAAATCTTCTGAGCAGGGGCACAGACAACACCACCACAGGGGTGTTAACCCTTCCCTATGGTATCCAAAACACACATATACATATACTGCACACACACACGGCTGAAATTTACTTGTTTAGACAAATTAATAAAGAACAAACCTACAGAGCCTATCGTATTTGTAACTTGGGGACTGCCTGCAGTGATTTTCAATTTTAAGTCACATAGATATGGCCACAAGATGGCAGCAAAACAATTTAGGAGGCCAATTTAACAGAAAATACACTAAAAGAGTGATGCAGCACATACTAATACTACCTTCTACAGTGTAAGCCTTACACATCCTGGCCATGTTCACCTGATAAGTATTACTAATCTGTAGGCTTACACCGCAACAATATTCATGGTATTCATGCAATGCAATTGACACCAAACCTCTACTCACTCCATCCCCGAATTGCTAAAAAGAAATGTAACTCAAACCATACACACACACACACACACACACACACACACATCCTGGCCATGTTCACCTGATAAGTATTTGTATTATTTTATTGTGTGGCTTATTAGATTTAGTTCAGTAAGTACTGAACATCTGGCTTTGTTTCTTGACATTCACATTTTGTCTCTATCAGAATCCTGTGCTGAGCCAAGGTAAATTTTAATATGTGCTTCCTTTACTTTCCCAGAAATGGCTCTCAGTTCCCACCCACACCCCTATTTCTATAGAAATACTTTCAATTATGTTGTGCTTCAATCAACTTTAAAAATTAAATTGCTTTTAGTACTTTGCAGCCATGTTACTAAGGTTAACAAAACGGGGTGATCTGGAGTTCCAGATATATTGATTCATTTCTTAATCCAAGTGTACCTGGCTCAATCTTGTCCCAGGCATATATAGACATACCTGAGTTAACAAAGTAAGTACATTCCTGGGCATAACTTCTTTAAAAGCACAGTTGGTACCAGCAAGGAACAACATGCAAGGAATAGACATAAATTTCCTATATCACACACACACACAAAAGCAGCAATTCAACATGTTTCAGCAAACCTTTTATGCAGAACAAAGTGTCCATAGGAAACGAAACTACCTTGAATCAGTAAAGAAAAACTTCTTGAACTGCCAAGATATGACCTGAATCTGTTCATAAAATCTACTAAGGGTTTTTTCCCTACCACCCTTGCTAAACAGGCTAATTTTCCTTTTGCTGGAGTACAGCTGAAGTAGCTCCTGCGGAGTCCACTGCAAAAAAATTGTTGCTAACACCACTTTATCACACTAGAGAAAAAATCCACTTAAAATCCGGTTTTTGCTTCCTGCAGAATTCTGGGGTTTGTAGTTTAGTGAGGCTGTTAAAGGCTCCTCTCCGGATTTAAAGTGATTTTATCTCACTAGTGTGATGAGGCTAAGTGTTGTGTAAATGGGTGGAATTCAGATACAGTTTACTGTTGCCAAATCGTTTGTGACACCATTGAGCTAAAGGGGACCCCATTTGGGAACGGGATCCATAGTTTAAGAAGCAGTGCTCTAGATTGCCAGGCCTAAAGTTTCCCAGACTGTAAATCAGGGGTGAGGAATTATCGGCCATGGGATGTTTTGTCCCTCAACTCTCACGCAGCATGACAAAAAGCAATGGGTTATGAGAATTGAAACATATAAGGGGCTAAAGATTTCTCATTCCCATCATAAAGAACTCCTCTTCAGAAGCAATATTATCCTCTTCCAGTCTCACCCATGCACACTCCACCAGCTCAGAAAGCAAGTGATTCTGTTGTGTTAGCTTTGGGAGGAGGATGTGGTAGAGCAAGAGGGACAACCTTTTGGCACGAAATCAAGTGTCTGCTTGGAAGAAGGAGGAGATCCCAGGGACTCCAGGGAGCATCTGTCTACTCATCCGGACAAGAGGCTAAAATGGCAAGTATTGCATTATACCTGTAATATACTGGCACACATTGCAGAATGTTAACACACACACACACACACACCACTTTTCTTCTGCAAGGAACAGTACTGGACCAAATTTGGCACAAATACCCAATTTTGTTTTTGTCATTTGGGAGTTGTAGTTGCTGAGATTTATAGTTCACCTACAATCAAAGAGCATTCTGAACTCCATCAACAATGGAATTGAACCAAGCTTGGCACACACTTCTCCCATGACCAACAGAAAATACTGAAGGGATTTGGTGGGCATTGACCTTGAGTTTTGGAGTTGTAGTTCACCTACATCCAGAGAGCACTGTGGACTCAAACAATGATGGATCTGGACCAAACTTGGCACAAATACTTAATATGCCCAAATGTGAACTTTGGTGGAGTTTGGGGAAAATAGACTTTGACATTTGGGAGTTTAAGATGCTGGGATTTATAGTTCACCTACAATCAAAAAGAATTCTGAACCTACCAATGATAGAATTGGGCCAAACTTCTCACACAGAACCTCCAAGACTTGAAGGAACTCGCTGGCACAAGCCTCCCCCCCCCCCCCCCCCCCCCACACACACACACTCTCCTTCACCTGCAAATACACACCACGCTGCCATGCACCAAGCACTCCTGTTCGCCCCTCCCCACTTGTAGTCTCAGAAACAGCCCTCCCCTTGGCTGGGAGGCCAGCCAATCACCGCAGAGATGGACTTTTGGTGGGAAGATTTGCCCTCTGTTTCCTAAAAGGAAGAGAAGGACAGGTGGAGAGATATTCCGCCTTCTCTGCCAAAGGGGTTCCTAAGACCATCAGAAATATATGTTTTCTGATGATCTTTGATGACCCCTCTAAAACTCCCTTGCAACCACCCAGGGGTCCCAACTCCCAGGTTGAAAAACACTGCTGTAAATGGAGTACAAAGGAAGACTGTCAGTTACATAGTATTTCACAAATAACATTTTTGTCAGTTCCACCAGGAACTAAAGCAGGGAATTGCTGTTACATGAATAGCAGCTGATCACAAGACACTGTTTACTTACTGCCAGCGTGCTGTCGCCAACGTTTGAGGCTATGAGTCCCTCGATGGTTCCATATTCTGCATCCCTTGAATTAAACCTTTCCAAATAGCGCTGCTGCACTTTCCGGACGAATAGCACCAATAGTGCAGAAAGTATTATCAGCATCATAACCGCAGCCAGTACAAAAAGAATAAGCATTTCCACGGTGTAACCCACTGCTTCTCCTTGAATTGGTTGCCCTTTGTAAGAGAATCAAAAAATCAAAGTTAGTCAAAGTTGTCAGCATTAAGCTGGAAAGGTAAATCCAAGGACATACAACAAACATTCATTTGTAAAGCCTGTGAACATTATTTACATGCAGAATTTAGGTGGCTCTGAATGAGTCATTATGATTAAAAGAAAAGGGGGAGTCCAGGCACCTGACCATCAAAAAGAAAAAGAAACCACGAGAGAGCAACCAACATCTAAGAGAACAAGATATTTTGTTTCAGCTCTGCCATTGGCTCCATCAGACTCCAAATACACAAAACAGGCTATCAAGATAAAGTGAGTCCTGCAGCAGTCTTTGATCTTGGCAAGGCCTGCTCTTTCCAACCTGTCTCTAATTCCACGTGAACACCAAATGTCCTGAATAGTTCTTGCATTTTGACAGAATACAATCTGTAACATTCCCCTCTTCTGTCCTTGCCAAGCCTTGGTCTTGGAACAGGCACAGGGAGCATGTTGTCTTGCAGACATTACTGGACTGAAACTCCCATCAGCCTAGCCAACACAGCAAATGGTGTGACATAATGGAAGTAGTAATCCAACAAGTGGAGGGTCAGATCTGTGACCTAGAAGATGATTCCCACGCTCATATAAAGAACCAACCTATTTGTATGACTTCTCACACTTGGTCTCTGGTTATTGTAAGGAGCAATCCCTAAACTCATTTTGTTTTCCATATTTAGATTCATGATAGTTTGCTGTTTACAGGTCCCTGCCTCATATCCTTCATTTCTTTACTCCAAGCATCAGGGCCACCTCCAATACAGTCCAAATAGACAATGACCATCATTCTCTCATTTTAGTGCCATCTGATCTTGAAAGCTAAGTAGACTTAGTATGTGGATGGGAGGCTGTGAATGAGTATCAGTTACTATTGGCTATATTTGAAAGGAAGGAACTGGCAAAACCACCTCTGAGAATTCCTTGCTTAGGAAAACCTTATGAAAAAATCAGGGGGTCACTATACATTCACAGGCAAGTTGAAGGCACATATAAACTCAGTTGTAATGAGTAAAGATTCTGCTACTACTCTCCTTTGTAGCCATCAAATTATTGTCTCAAGCTAGATCATGGATGGAAAATCTTTGCCTGTCCAGATTTCGGTAAACGATTCCTTTCATTATACCTTGCTGGCTAGGGTTGATAGGAACAAGAGTCTGATAATATCAGGAGAGCGACAAGTTTTTCCCCTGCTTCTCTCTAGCACAATCTCTAAGGGGTGTCATGCTATAGCTGGAATCCTGAAGCCATTCATACTAAGAGTACAGTTCTAATATTTATCTCTCTGCCAACATTCTCCTCCTTACAAATATACTTACAGATAACCCATCAATTTCTATATGGTTCCCAAATCCCAGATCTAACACCAAGACTGGGCTTTCTAAAGCTAGCCTTAACAATTAATGGGACCTTTAAGAAAAGGAGAGAGAGACATAACACTAAAACACTCACCTTTTGTTGGCAGCTGTGCCGTGATGTTCATGTTGCACAGGTCTCCCTGACAGCACTCCACCGCTTGATCAGAGGATGGTGGAGTTTTGCAGGTCATCTTCCCTTGCTCATAGACTCGGAAGCACCCCTTCTGGGATACTTTAGCACCATTATTGATGCTCAGAGAGGCAAAGCACTGATGGCCCCTGCAGCGGACTCCATTTCCACATGACATCCCTTCACACACACATTCATAGTCCGTTACTAGTTTGAGCTCATCATCTGCAGGGTAGAAAGAAGAGAAAACACCATTTCAGCAAACCCACTAGAAGCAAACAAATGCATTCTAGTGCATTTCCAACAAATATTTTTTGGTTCAGCAACTCTGCCAGCACTACTCACTTCTCCGCCACCCCTCCAGAAACACTATAATGAGAAGAAACTGCAAGCTGTTCAGCATCTGCTCAGGACAAAAGAGGGCCCAGTGTGTTCTGAATTGTGTGTAGCAGGAGTTTCCATTCCACATTTGTAGGTTTTTGTTTGCACAGATTTCTACACAAAGTTGAACAGAATTCAACAGGAAGAACATACTAAATGGCCTGTAAGCTTGATTTTCCAGAACTCTGGAATGCTGACCTCTTCTCTCAATTTGCAAAAGGTATGAAAGGCTTGGAGAACTGCAACCAAAGGAGAGTGTGTATCTGCCTTCAAATCAACTTATGGCAACTTCATGAATTTTCTTTGGCAAGAAATACTCAGCTTACATAGCAGCCACTCTCAACTTCCCCAAACTTTAGAAGAGGGATCGTCCTTCAGATGTTTTGGACCAGTTCTCAAACATCCCACTGGCACAGCCAAAAATAATAAGGGACTGTGTGAATTTTAGCTCACTGCTTTGAAAAAGAGGTTGGTTTTCCTGATCTAAAATCCAGACATTATCCAAAGTGAACCACTGTTCTGTAGCTGTCTAGGCTCCATTTCCACAAATTTACTCCTATTCCAAAAGCCACCAGAATACCCTAAAGAACTTCTTTATTCTCCCTTTTTTCAGATTCTTCTATAAAACCAGGACCACAAAACTAACCTATGTTTGGAAAGAAGCTACTTCATTGCTAAGTAGTAGTTTCTGTAACAGGCCAACTAGCAGAACCAAATTCATGTGTTACACAAGACAGCGTGATACGATTCCAACAAATATCCTTCCAAAGGGATAAACCAAAATACAATATATGCCTCTCTCTATACTTACTTTGTAATTGTGATCTCTGTCACAAAGGGGGAGTATCATATTTATATACGTTATGAAGAGAAACAGGCTGCACATAGCAGGAGAGGATCTTAAAAGAATGAGTATTTTGGAATGTGGCAGGAGAAAATTCCAGTACCAAAAGCTTCATTACAAAGAGACTCAAAGCAGCTGTACTACACAACACAGCTATGGCAGTTTGATACCAATTTAACTCCTGAGCTTCTGTCCTATGGAATCCTGGGATTTGTTGTTTGGTTGAGGTACTTCTTTGTTGGTAGTGGGCCCTGATGCTAAAGATCCACAGAAAGCTCCAGGATTCTCTAGAAGGGAATACAGTATGGTGTCCGTATCCATGGCTTCACTTACCACCAAATAATAATCACTGCACCCCACTGGAAGAGTTTGTGGATTTTCTAGGTTCCAGTACGGTCAAAATATAGGATTCACAACTATCCATGGTTTTAGATATCCACGTGGGGTCTTGGAACATGCCCTTCTCAGATACAGTGGTTGCATTGTTTAAAATTCCTTTGCTTTTGAATACCATATAGAAATGTCAGAGCATTTTCACCAGATTTTTGCCCCTTTTGGACCAATTTGAGATCAGGAAAAACCTTTTTTTCTGGAACAGGAAGTTAACAGAAAATGACGTCTGGTCTCTTTTTATTGTTAAAAAAGCCTCTCCTGAGCCCAAAATAGTCCAACTGAGACATAAAATGTGGGGGGGGGGGGACTGTCCAACCGCCTTCTATAAACTGTTTTGGGGCATTTAGGGTGCGTGTGGCAGAGATGCAGTAGAGTTGTAGCCCTCCAAAGTCTCCAAGGCTAATGTGACTTACTAGCTTTCCACAGTTTGCAACCAATACTATAAATCAGGAGTCCTCAAACTTTTTAAACAGAGGGCCAGGTCACAGTCCCTCAAACTGTTGGAGGGCTAGATTATGGGAAAAAAATGAATGGATTCCTATGAACACTGCACATATCTTATTTGTAGTGCAAAAAAACACTTAAAATAATACAATAATTAAAATGAAGAACAATTTTAACAAATACACTCTTATTAGTATTTCCAATGGGAAGTGTAGGCCTGCTTTTGGATGATGAGATAGAATTGTTGTTTTTGTTGTTGTTGTTGTTGTGTGCTTTCAAGTTGTTTCAGACTTAGGTTGACCCTGAGTGAGGGCCGGGTAAATGACCTCGGAGAGCCGTATCCAGCCCTCGGGCCTTAGTTTGAGGACCCCTGCTATAAATGGGCAGCTGAGAAGCAGAACAGAGACAGAGCTAGATCTGGAATACACACAATCCAACCAACTATCTATCCAAAGCTACCTTTCCATACTACAAGGCTCCAACTAGCAACCAATATCTAAATAGCTGAATTGCAGAGTTTGGTCATCTGCCTCCTCCCTTCTTCCCAAAGCTGATATAGATATTTAGAAATACGTTTGTTTTTAGCCATTTAAGTGATAAAATGAGCAGGACAGAAAGTAACCCTGGGCTAATTGCAGCCCAATGGTGTAGTATGGCACTGTGCACCATTGCATACATCTGATCTGGAGCAGCAATCTGGTTGTTATTCTCTGCCAAGGCTCAGCTCTGTAATCTGCACAAAAGCAGCCCTTTGAACCTTTACAGAGTAGAATTTCCTCCCAAATAAGTCACAAGAAGAACATTTTGTGGAGATCAGAATGTGCCTATTACAAAATTATGAATCCAACACAGGGATGAAAGGACAGTTAATTTCCATGCCATTTAAGATTAAACAGTCTGGTATAAAGCTGTTCCATTTAAACTACATTTTCAGGACATGTATACAAGCTGGAGAGCTCATATCAAAATTAGAACAGAGATCAGGATTATAATGAGTTTAGAAAGAGGAGTACAAACTAATTCTGTGCATATTTTATATGTAGTGGCTCAGAGTTTTCTACATAAACTGACTTCCCTAATTGCTTAAAACTCAAGGCTTTTTACTAAATACCCAATGACAGAAGCCAGCACTGGGATATTATGATAGAAGGCTATTTTATGCTAATTCCAGTCTTTCCATTTTACACATTTGACTAACCTTGCATATGGTTACAGCTATGGTCTGAAGACATTACTTTTTGGCTGAAGCACATAGAATTCCCTATTCAACTTGACCACTAGATTAGCAAATTCAGTAATCCACTCTAATTCCAGTCTTTACATTTCACAGATTTGACTAAACTTACATATAAGTACTGCTAGAGCTTAGAAACACTGACACAAGCTTCCAGAATACCCCATTTAGCTGGGATACCAAATAAAGTTCAGTAACCCACGAAACCATACATTTGAATCCTTCTCCAGTGCAATAAGATCAAGAAAAAAGCACCACCTACAAATAAGGATATTGGAGAGAAGGGTACTAGAGACAAAGTTGAAGTACTTTGGCCACATCATGAGGAGACAGAAAAGCTTAGAGAAGACAATGGTGCTGGGGAAAATGGAAGGAAAAAGGAAGAGGGGCCGACCAAGGGCAAGATGGATGGATGGCATCCTTGAAGTGACTGGCTTGACTTTGAAGGAGCTGGGGGAGGTGACAGCCAACAGGGAGCTCTGGCATGGGCTGGTCCATGAGGTCACGAAGAGTAGGAAAAGATTGAACGAATGAACAACAACAACACATAAGTCACTTTTACTCTCTATTTGGTCTTTTTTGTACTATAGAAAACTATTTACTATTGAACAATATTTTTTGCTTCACGTTGCGATTACAGCAAACTACCTAAACAATGTACCTGCCAACAAGGTGGCCCACAAAAACTGCAGCGTCCTGGGTTCTTTGGAGCATGAGTAAATATGGAAACCAATAGATATCAAACCAAAAGTCTGCTGAATCAGTATGGTTGGTATCTGCACTGGGCCTGCAAGGACGGGGAGAGGTATGGCAAAACCTACTGAAGAATGTCTAATCATGATTGCACTGCACTGACTGTGTAACACAACATCATCAGAGCTCAAAGTATACAACCCTAATGGAGACGAACACCCACAATGGCTCCTCAGCACATATAATGACACAAAATCCTCCCATTCCACAATCCATCCTTTCCTTAGATCTGCTATATATTACAGGTCTTGAGGTATGGAAGGAAGAAATGCAGTCTATTTATCTATCTACCAATCTATCTCACCAGACAATTGATCAACACTAAACCTGAATAACCTGCTCTATTATTTTTCCTTGGAAAACCTTATGCTTCTCCTTTCTGTTTTATTCATTAATGCAATATTACATTAAGCAGAACATAAATCTTAAAAATTATAATGTTTTCAGAACAAAGAGACATCATGCAGTATGGATGTTTTATGTATATTTCTTGGTAGAGAAAATATTTCCAAGCCAGCCAGCGAAGCCAAAGGCTTTCAGTCATTAGAAAGGTTTTGGGCAGCACCTAATAATCACTGGAGAAAGATCTAAGTAGACCCCTAGAGACTTATATATTCCAGAAACCGCTGCAGGGGAGGCTGTCTGGCAGAAGGCAGAGGGAAACCAGGAGATCTTCTTCTGATTATCTGAGCAGACCAGGGCTTCCGATGGCAAAACCTCAACCTTCAAATCTCTTTAGGGCTTTAAGAAAAATCATCCATATTTTGAACTGGACTCATAAACCATTTAAAAACCAAATAAAACAAATTCAGCTATGAACTAACACACCAAAATACCCAACAAGTCTGAACAACCAGCTCTGATCTCAACCCTGGCATTATGCACCAGCTTCGGCTTTCAAATAGTTTAGAAAAGCCCATCAAAGAAATACATTACAATAAACTAAACTGAATGTAGTTGAGGCTCATTGAGTAACCATAGCTAGGCCTGTCTTTCCAGGAATTATTACAGCTAGGCCATCAGCCTAAAACTGTATGAAAGCACTCCTGGCTGCAGTCATCATGTGCACATCCAAACAGTGTACCTGATTCTCTAAGAGAAAGACAACCTCCAATGTGGATACTCACTCTCTGAATTAGCCATCTTATTGTTTGCTTTTATGCAGATTAGGAAAAA